TTAAAAAACAAAAAGTAATAAATATATAGGACTATTTTGATCAATCCAAATACAGAAGAATATTTCAATGCAAATTTCTAAATTATTGATGTTAAAAAAAAAAAAAAAAAAAAAAAAAAGAATAGTAAGGATACCAAAGGCTTGAACTACACAATTAAAGTTTGATATATATAGAAACTTCTATCCTAAAATTAGAGAGTGTACATTCTTTCAAACACACAAGGAGTTATAAAAATTGACTTTATACTGGTCCAAAAAGCAAGTCTCAATTCTTTTCAAAGAATCAATAACACTCTCTGACCACAAAACAATTAAACTAGAGCTCAAAGATTTTCTTTTAATTTGGAAAGTTAGCCCCCAAAATTTACTGCTCCAAATTCTAAACTTAGGAATAAAAGATTTAATCATGTGGAAATTCTTAAAAATTATTTAGAAATAAAATAATAATGAAAATGGCCCTTTTCAGGGGCGTCTGGGTGGCTCAGTCGTGCCTTCGGCTCAGGTCGTGATCCAAGGGTCCTGGGATCGAGCCCCACATTGGGCTCCCTGCTCAGCTGGAAGCTCCCACTCCCCCTGCTTGTGTTCCTGCTCTCGCTATCTCTCTCTCTGTGTCAAATAAATAAATAAAATCTTTAAAAAACAAAAACAAAAGAAAGTGGCCCTTTTCAAAGATGGTTAGTAGAAAATCCACAGGAACATATACATAAATTACTAGAAATAGTAAGAGAATATAACAAAACAACATGCCATTAGATATATTTGTGATCTAAATATATATATATGTATATATACATATATATACATATATATATATATATATAAAACTTAAAATGCATCAAAGGGAAACCAAAATAAGTAGAGAGATATGCCAGATCCATGGCTAGGAATAATCATTATCAGAAAAATATTAATTCTTCCCAACAGATACAAGAGTCAAAGCAATTCCAAATAAATCCCAGTAGAGTTTTTTATAGAACTTGACAAGTTGATTTAAAATTTATTTTAAAAAATACCTAAGTGTTCCTGATAAAGAAAAACATGGCTGGCCTACCCTATCAGACATCACAAGTTATAATAAAGTCATAACTATTTTTTTAATTTTATTTTATTATGTTATGTTAATCACCATACATTACATCATTAGTTTTTGACGTAGCGTTCCATGATTCATTGTTCGCGTATAACACCCAGTGTTCCATTCAATACACGCCCTCTTTAATACCCATCACCATCCCCCCACCCCCTCTCCCCTCTAGAACCCTCAGTTTGTTTCTCAGAGTCCATAGTCTCTCATGGTTCATCTCCCCCTCCGATTT